GTGATAAGTAGTTTCAAGATTGAAATAAGTCAAGCAGAGGCCTCTGATCGGTCAAGAGTCTGATCTACCTGGATTATACTGTCACAAAGAAAGGGCACCTTTTTGGCTTCCCATACCTTAGCCTAACTTGCATTGGTGTGAACAGTCCTTACATTCCAGGGCTGTGACCACACGTGTTGGGAAGAGTCCATGGCCAATAACAATTTAAAAGTGAGAAAGCCATAGATGATTCTCTTCTTTCTGATGCTCACACAACAGGTACAGTGTTTCAAAGTTTGGGCTTTGCACTTTAACAAAGAAATAAAATTATTTTAGAGTAGTATTGTCAAATAGAAATAAATGTGAGCCAAATATAGAACTTTAAATTTTCTGGCAGCCACATTAAAAATAGTAAGAACAGATGAGATTAGCTTTAATATTTTATTTGTTCTAATATATCAAAAATTATCACTTCTGCGTGTAATAAATATAAAAATTGTTAATGAGATATTTTACTATTTTTTCATATTGTCTTCAAATCCAGTGAGTTTTCTATGCTTATCACACATCACAAATTGGATGCTAAGTTTACAATAGTTTAAGTGAAATATGCTTCTACCAAGGCAATAAAGTTATATTTAATGGAAAATAATTAAAATTAAAATTAAAATTTAGTTTCTTGGTTACGTTATCCACATTTCACGTGTTTAATATCCCTGGGTATCTTGTAGCCACCATATTGGGCAGCTCATCTTCAGATGCTAAAATACGGCTTTTATGATTTTTTATTAATAGTATTAAGGACCTTGTAAAATATTCAGTCCTTATTAAATGTTATTGAATTCTTACTAATTGATAAAATTATTTTTAAAGCCACTAAAGCAAACAAAAGAAGAAAAAATTAAGTATGGAATCAGAAAGAAGGATGTTTGTTTTATGTCTCCTAAGTTAACTGTCCTTATCTGTCAATGAAATGCTAAGTTCTTCAGTACTACCCAAAGTGTATCTGTGGACAAATGGTTCAAAAGCAAGCAAGTTTGTGAAATGCTGAGTACAAACCCATCTCACCAGATATTCACGCAACAGACTGCCATTATCATTTCCATTCACGGATCAGAGATTCAGAGCAAGCCTTGCTGCATGCTATGTGCTTATCTTTGGTCTACAATTATCTTTCTTCTTTCTCTCTCTGTTTCTTTTGGCAATATAATTAGTAAGTATGAGCCCACAACAATATAGAAAATGCAGAACTTTAAAGTAGCTTACAATTTTTGCCTAAGGCAATCATTATTCCAGCCCAATCCTATGCTTATGATTATGATTCCCTTACTTTCACTTGATAAATATTTATATCACATATGTTTTATCAAAATATGATACATAGTTTATTACAGAGTCATACTGTGGTGAGTTATCATGTTACATATAATTTTGAAACCTACTAGACACTGACTCAGATTGAAAAATCTATAAGCTATCTCTTCAAGCTTTGTTCAAGCCTCTGTCATCCCTAACTCTATCCCTAGACTATTTTATTACTCTTTTAAATAAATTTTGCCTAACTTAAATCTTTTCTCTCTTCAGTTTATCTTCCATACTACCTTCTTAGTTACCTTTCTAAAATATAAACTTAACCATATAACTCCCCTGTTTAATATCTTTTAGAGATGCCTCAATCACTAAAAGATAAAATTCAAATTTCTTATAAGATTATATTAGACATTTTAAAATTTCCTTAGTCTTCCTATTCCAGTAGACACTGCTATACTTCAATGTGACTTTGCCATTCATCTTATCAGTCTTGGAGTTCTCGCTCCATTCTCTTTAATCTGGGCTAGCTTTGTAGCTTGCTTTGATTAATATTATGTGGCAAAAATGACAATGCAACATTATTAAAAAAATTTTGTCTTAAATTCTGGGATACAAGTGTAGAACGTGCAGGTGTGTTACGTAGGTAAACGTGTGCCATGGTGGTTTGCTTCACCTATCAATGCATCATCTAGGGTTTAAGCCCCACATGCATTAGCTACTTGTCCTAATGCTTTCCCTCCCCTAACTCCCTGACCTCCAACTGGCCCTAGTGTGTGTTGTTTCCCCCGCTGTGTCCATGTATTCTCATTGTTCAACTCCCACTTTTGAGTGAGAACATGTGTTGTTTGGTTTTCTGTTACCGGGTTAGTTTGCTGAGGATGATGGCTTCCAGCTTCATCTATGTCCCTGCAAAGGACATGATCTCATTCCTTTTTATGGCTACACAGTATTCCATAGTATATATGTACCATGTTTTCTTTATCCATCCTATCATTAATGGGCATTTGGGTTGGTTTCATGTGTTTGTTATTGTAAAATAGTGCTGCAATAAACATATGTGTGCATGTGCCTTTATGGTAGAATGATTTGTGTTCCTTTGGATATGTACCCAGTAATGGGATTGCCAGGTCAAATAGCATTTCTGGTTCTAGATCCTTGAGGAATCACCACACTGTCTTCCACAATGAAAGAACTAATTTACATTCCCACCAACAACGTAATAGTGTTCCTGTTCTCCACAGCTTCACCAGCATCTGCTGTTTCTTGATGTTTTAATAATCACCATTCTGGTTGTCATGAAATGTTATCTCATTGTGATTTTGATTTGGTGTTTTAATGGTTTTTGTTAAGGGAGTGCCCAATTGCTCGATATAAAATTTGGGACATCCCAGGTTGAAAATACAAAATCAAGCAGCTTTTTTGATGTCTGTGAGAGTTATAGCTTTTCAGCAAGGACATGCTATAGCCCCTCCTGAAAATAGATATACAATAACTAAAACAAATTTAAATCCCACAGAGATTGTAAGCTGGATAAAATTCACCTGAAGATATTCAAAGTGAGACACTGGGTCCTGACCATGATTACTCTTTACAATTTTTTCCAGGATTATGTGGCTGACAGGTGGCACATAACCTAAAAATAATCTCAGCTTGTTTTTAAAGTTTTCTTACTAATGGTGATTAAAAATACTAACCCATTTTTCTATTCCATGATGAGTAGTTTCATGAAGAAATTTAGTTAATATCCACTTGAAATGATCTGGTGCCATAAGCAACCACCTTGAGCCTTCCAGAGATTATATCAATGAAGAGTAGAACCAGAATTTTTCCACTCTTCCTTTTCACAGTTTACCAGAGATTTATCCTTTGAGAGCTTATCTTGGTGAGCATAATGATCTGCTTGAGTATTTCCTTTAAGTCGTGTCTCTTCCCATGAGCTCCAAAATTTATAGTCATCTCTGTAGGTAGTAGGAGTGCATCTAAAAGTTATTTTACTTATTGTCCATTTTTAGAAGGGTCCCAACAGACATAAGAAGCCCCCTTGTCTTGAAAGCATACCAAAGTCATGTACTACTCCAAAAGCATATCTGCTGTCTATCCACCTATCCATCTATTTACTTTCTGTCTGGAATTTAGCTAGTTGACAAACACTAGTAAGTGCAAGAAGTTCTGCAATCTGGGTGATTTTAATTCTAGTAGAGGACTACATTCTAAAAGCCTATCTTCTTAATTTATTGATGGCACATCCTGTTTACCGGCTGACTTCTAGTTGGTTTCAGTTTTGAGATATGATTCATCAACAAATATTAGACCAGGTTTCCCAGTGGGTTCTCTAATATATCTGAGTGAGGCAAATAAAGTTCCCTAACTAAAATTAGACAGTCACGATGCTGCATTTACTTCAGGTGGGGCAGGAGAGTGATAGGACTCAGCATGTTGCAGAGATAAATAGTAATGTGAGAGGAAGATAGAGTATTAGATGCGAGTAAGTTGGCAAAATGTGTTATGTATACTCAGTCGATAGTAATGTATGTGCTGCATGAGGAACCGTGATGTCAAGCAGAGAGCCTAGAACTAGTTCAGCACAAGCACTGCAAAGTTTCATAGCTGCACCTGTTGTCCTAGGTCAAGAAGGATAAGCCATCACAACTGAGTCAAAATTGAGGCTGTGGTGAGCAATAGGGTTTTCATGAATCCCGTGAAACAGAGCTAAAGCCCTAAGGGCATGTCCATAACACTCATGTAAAAATTAATGGGGTAGATTTTTGTATAATAGTTAGGGATGACTAAGAAAGGAAGCTATTGAAGAGTCTTCTTCAGATTACAGAAGACCTGCTCATGTTTGAGTTCCCAGATCAGAGGATCTTTTACTTGGGACTTAGCCAGTTTATAAAGAGAGATTGCAATCACAGAAAAAAGTTGGTCCCCATTGTCTGCAGTATTTAGTCATATCTAGAAGATCTCTCTGTTGCCACCTTGAAAAGGGTCTAGAAATAGTTTTAATAGTCTTTAATCTAAAAGGAGAGAATGTTTTTTCCTCCTTAAATGGGTCATGCCCCAAATAATGGGCTGTGTTCTGGAAAATTTATAATACGTCTTTGATATACTATGTTCTTTTTCTTCTAGGGCTGAGACCAAGTAAGTGGGAACCTTTGTTCAGTAAACCTTCCTTGTTTACTGAACAAAGTAAGAGATCATCTACATATTGTATCAGAACAGAACCACAAAAGAAATTCATGAATCATGTAAATTTTAATTAAAGACCTGGGAAAAATAGAAGGAGGTTTCAGTGAACCTCTGGGGCATGGATGTCCAGGTATATTGCTGTTTTCCCCAGAGGAAGGCAAAAGGGTGTATTCTGCTCTACAGACACACTCAAGAAAGGCCAAGCAAAGATCTGTGACAGTGAAGCTAATGGTGTTAGGCAGAATTGATTAAAAGATGGTAGTTGAGTTAGGAACTAAAATTCACTGGCATCTGAGGCTGGCACTAACAATAGTCTTAAAAGGCCCATGCCAGTGTTCTACCCTGTGATTCTCCTTATAACAAACTACACTTTTAGAGAGTGCAACACAAAAGAGTAACACAAATGAACACATAACAAAAAAAGGATGAAAAGAAGGGCTTGGTTTTGCCAAAAAGGCCAAACAAATGGTAAGGGATAACAAAACCAGGGTATCAGACACATAATAAATAGCCAAAGAACTCACCACAAAGAGAGTAGAGTTCAGACCTGGTGCTGACTTGCCAACATCATTGTGGACTTGACAAGTGGCAAATAGTAAGGCACAGGGGGTTTTGCCCCAGCTGAAGGCTAGAGTCTGTGGTGATAGGCAGAGCAGACCTTCTTGATGGAATTTCCAAGAAAACTGTGGAAATAAATAAAAATCACTCAAATGAGAACAAACAAATGTTATTTATTCAGAGCTTGCTAAACAAAAGAGTCACCAATCACCAATTATGTTTGGCAGAGACTCAAATGCAAGTAGAGTGATGTGACAGATGTACAGTAGAAAAAAGGAAGGCATTAGGTATGCCTAAGTGGAGGTTGTTGGCATGGGGAAAGTAGAAACAGGCTAATTAGAAGTGGATCATACTATGTGATGTGTTAGGAGTACGTATTTGGCTTCCCGTAATTGGTTCTAAGTTAGACATACAAGCAAAAATTATGGAATCTGGCAATTATTTACTAGGTCCTTACTGATGTTGAAGAGGTTGTGGTTGGGCTTCAGGCTGGTTGTTACAGAAGTTGAGGTCAAAGTTGCATTTTTATATATGGCTTGGCAATTTTCTGTTTGTATATTCAATCTCCCGCCATTCACTGAGTTTTTGAAGATGTTGATCATATTGGTAATGTCATCCACAGCATTGGCAACTTATCCAACAAAGGCGTGCATGACCTGAGCATTTTACCAAACTTTCTGAGTAGTCCAAAGAGTGGCTTATCCATAGAGATAGTTGGAACATGAATGGTTAGCTGGAATGATAATAAGTTCTTCTAGGCTTATAACAAATCCTCAGACTTGAACTTGCAGTGATTCTTCAAATCCTAGGGGGTAAAGACCAGCAACAGGGCAACCTAGAACGTCAATAAGAATCTAGGCAGATTTTAGTTCCCGGTGACTACAAGTCTAGAGGTAGAAATAAAAATGGAATCATTCTTTTCAAGGCTGTTAGTTTGTAGCCAGATGCTGAAGGAAATGGGAGTAATTGAAAATCTGGTAAAGGTTGACAGTCAGTGCAAGGTTAACAATCTATGCAAGGTAAATGCCAAACTGAAGTTTCCACAATGAGAGAGAAAGCTTATCTATAAAGTTTGCATATCTATCAGTTACCTGCAATTTGCAAAGAGGCATTATACAGCTCAAACAAAAATAAACAGAATCAGAATCTGATAATCTAGAAGTATGTGCCATAATTTCCCACAGAAACACAAATTTTCTTTCTACAGTTACTTCTCCCCTTTTGATCAAAGATAATCTCAAAGAAAGATTATTCTTGATCACTAATTAAGGTTAATCTCATGAGATTTGGCTTGTTATTTGCATAGGTACAGCAAAAGTGGTAATCTACATATCGATTTTCTTATATTTGCTTTGCTGGAAGTTTTCGTAAAGAATGTCAAGTTGAACTTTTCAAAGCCTCCTAAGGATGAGAAGCCAAGCCAAAAACTCACATCAGATTTCACATGCAGTACCTATCGATTTGGCAGGCATTCCTTTTTCCTTGAGATCCCAAAAATATCCTAAGTTTCCAGAACCTGCTGGGAAATGACATTCCTTGCTCACCTGCAAAGCTGTGAACCCTGCAAAGCCAGGTTTCAAGCCAGTTTTCACAAGAGGTGCTTTGGAAGCATTGGTCCCATAAGGCCAACTTGAGTTCCTTAAAAGCGTCTGGTCGTATCTGATCAAATAAGCATCATTCTCAAATATAAGATCCAGGCAAAGCTTTGGTTTTATTACCAATGGTTTGTTCGTGTCCTGTTAACAAGGAGGACAGACTCTTATGGAACCTATGCAAATAACTATATTGCCATGAAGATAAGAAGACTCAATTGGAGTTTCTAAATTTTGAAAGGGGGAGTCAGGGAGAAAAAAAATACAGGTTTCATTTCTGTCTACAAGGAATGAGCATAGTCTATAAAATTGTTTGAGTGTTAGCTTAAGAGAAAAAGAAAAGAAATTCTTATTTCCCGAAAATAGAGCAATAAAACATGAACACTATTTCAAATAAAAATCATAATAATTTGCTCATTCAGTTTTATAAAATTAACTGTTCTTCCACTTGGTCTTGTGTTACTTGTCTTATTAATGCATCTGCTTCTCAACTAGACATCTGTAATCCTGACTCAGTCCATGGTATGATTTCATAGTCATTTAAACAATGTCATCAGAAATCTGTTCCCCAGAGTATATGGCATGATCCTTTTCTACCAGATTCTAATATTGTTCTTTTTTTGCTGAAGATAGAAAATCTTAGCCTATAATTGATTGCAATGATTTTATGGAAGCATCAGTGTAAAACAGAACAAACAAAATGATCTGTAGATGACAAAAGTCTAAAAATGGCTATCATTTACATATTATTGATAATTTTCAAAAGTGAATAATCTGAGTAGAGTTCAGGATAGGACTAATGCAATTGACAAACACATTTGGTTGTTTCTGTTATACAAAACAAAATAAATTCAATCCAAAAAACATTTTAGACAAAATATCTATAAGTGCAATGTATTGGCAATATTTTCAAAGAGGCTATATAACATTTAATTTATAAAAATGCTTGTATATAACCTTAAAAAGAAAACATTTTCATGTATAACACAAAAATCTTGAGCCATTAGATGCCACATATACCTAGCATGCCATTAGAATTTATCAAAGTTATCAAATAGAATCATTAAATCTGTAGATTATAAACATGAGAGTATTAATAAAAATGCATAGATAAGTGATATGAATCCCCAACAGAAAACTCCAGACCTAGAATATACTGGTTCCAAATAAAAGAAGTAAAGATGCAAACAAGTTCAAGTTTTAAAATATAACAAATTATGATGGATAACACTATACTGCCTTTATCTAACATCAAGCAAAGCAATACCAGGACTCCGATAAATAGAAATATATAATGAACAGTGAAAACATTAACAATTCTGGGGTTCACGTTGTCATCTCCTATAGTATCTCCTGTTTCCCTGGAAATCCTCAGAATCCAGACAGGAGCATGGCCCCATCAGTCAGGGGGATGAAAGCTGTGTGCATGTTGAGGGGTGAAGGCCTGGTACAGAGAATTCTCCATATCAAGCAGAAGGAAAATGGACTATCTGTGGTGGTGGTACACATTACAGGATTGGCTGAAGACCAGCAGATTCCATTTTCATCAATTTGTAAATAATATACGAGGAGGTCCCCGTGCAGGTCCTCACTTTAATCCTCTATCCTAAAAGCACATGGGCTGAAGGATCAAGAGAGGGATGTTGGAGACCTGGACAATGTGACTGCTGGCAAAGATGGTGCAACGGATGTGTCTATCAAAGATTCTACGATCTCACTCTCAGGAGGCCATTCCACAATGGTGGTCCATGAAAAACCAAATGACTTGGGCAAAGATGAACATGAAGAAAGTACAAAGATGGGAAATGCTGGAAGTCATTTGGCTTGTGATGTAATTGGGAATTCCCAGTAAACATTCCCTAGGATGAGGTCCAAGTGCCAGTGACACATCTGTTATCCTGCTAGCTATAGAAATGTAACTTGATAAACATTTAACACTGTAATCTTAAAAGTGTAAAGAAAAAAACACATTCACAATTCTCCAGAAACTTCTTACGTAGAATACACATTTAAAATGTTTATGTTAATAACATTTTCCCCAGACAAATTAAACCTATGCAAATCTGAGCATCTCTTCTGATTTGACAATGCTTCCCAGACATCTTGTCAATGATAACATATTAAACAAATAACCTTAACTAGTTCCAACTCTTGTCTTTTCCCATGGTGAAAGAACACATCTTTGAGACTTTCCAGAGGTCCCCTGGGAAATCTCAAAGGCCATTTTGGGCACTGGGGAGGCTGAGAGGACTGTGCTTGACTAGTAGCCAAAACAACTTGTTACTGTTTTACAGAGGACTAACCGGCCTCTGCTTTATCTGAATTTCTCACTTTAGCTTGTCTGCCCCATTTTGGGTGCAGAGCCTGCCCCTTGTGTCTGACCACAAACCAACATATCCTGTCTCAATTCATACAGCGTTTGGGGACGTTTGTTAAGTTTTAAGAACTCCCTCCCACCCCCAGATTTTCACACCTCAACTTTCCACAGGTGCTTTAAAATCATTGCTCACTCATCCCTTCTCTGAATTAGGATTTGAGCATCTTTCTGTGACGATGCTGCCCCACTCCTATTGTGATACTCCTCTTCTTAAGAAAGTTTTTCTGGATGAATGTCCAGATTAAACTTCTTTTCTTCGACAGTAACGATGCCATGACTTGAACAAAATGCCAACTGCCCGTGGCTCCTGCTTTCCTCACCCAGTGCCGCCTTAGTGGACTCCTCATGCCTTTCCTTGGCTGGGGAAATCAGAATCCACAGTGGTAAGCCATGACTTCTAATCCAGTGTTCCAGATATCTGTCTGTTGTAGCACAGTAAGAAGTTGACCTGTAGTTCTCTCATTTTTGTCATTTCCTTCTGTTTTTCTATCTTTTCCTACTGCCTTTTTTGAGAGTGGTGAAAGCCCCTAATTCTCTCCTGATAATCATACCTGAGTTAAAGGTCCAAGGTCTCTAGCACTGGCAGGTGTTCTTTCCATTATCATGAGATAACCATCAATTTGGCTGTTGTCCTCCAGACCCCTCAACAGTGGGATATGCTCTGTGTCATTATAGTAATAATTCCAGCCACTTTCTTAAAAAAAAAAAAAAAGTTGGCGGCGAGGGCAATATTTTTATACTTCAATTTCAGTGGCCCCTTTGAGGAATGAAGAATTTTTCCAAATTGTTTCCTTCTGTAAAGGGCTATTGAATCCTATGCCACCAAGATCTCATTCACGCAATAGACGCTTTGTTGGTGGTGGTGGTGGGAATTTCATACAAAGACACAGAAAAGAAATGCTTTGTCTCAAAAACTTTTCAGTGACCGTTACTTCTTTCAAAGACAATCTTCCTTCCCCAACACTTTCTGAGACCTGTGTCCTCTCAGCACCTATCCCCCATCTCTCTTTTCTACCATCTTCCATGTTCCCTTCAGCTCCCTTTAATCCTTGGATCTCCCTCTTTCAAATCCTCTGTATCCTCCACCTTTCTGTCCACGCATGCCAGGTCTTTCCTCTCCCACTCTGGCCCCTCAATTCCTTATAATCCCTTGAGCTTTAAGTCCTGTCCCTTCGTGGGAGGCTCTAGAGGAGCTCAGGGGCACTGATAGCAACAGCCTGAGGCTGAAAATGCTCCCTGGAAACAGGCTGAACGTTTTATCCACTGAGGTGGGCTTTGGAGACACCAGATGGTCTCTCCTCCATGCCCCACCTCTCCGAAATTGAGTCTACGGCTTCCCTAGAATTATACACCAGAGCCAAGGGCAGCTTATGGGTCTCCTACACAAATATTGGTGAAGATGCCTCAGTTCTCATATTGAACAGATTACCTCAACTTGCCCCATCTACCAAAAATATTGCCCTTGTAAAAATGTAAAGGTGAAGCAATGATGGTTATGTTTTTTTATATGAACCAATGAGTTTTGTATTTCTGTGATTATGCCTAAGTCATGACTAAAATTTAAAAATTAAAGCTGTAAGTTCGTTATGTCTGTCTATATGTTAATGTATGTGTGTTTGTGCATGTGCACATGCCTTTTGTGTAATATTTTCTTCCCTCTAGATGGTATTACCACATTAAATTATAAAATCCTTTAAATAAGCTCCTTTTGGATTTGCTTAGAGATGAATGAGACCCTACATAAGTTAAATATTCTTGAACTTCCCTGAAATTAGGAAAATCAAATTTCTAGTATTATCAATGTGAAAAAAGAATTTTTATGAAAGCTTAACAAAATGTTAAAAAAATTCAAGTTCATCTAATTTAGATAAACCTTTGGCCATTGAGAGTGCTTGATATAATTGATTTGATAAACATAGCTATGTCTTCTGAGTTGTCCACATTGTAAGAATACATTTTTGTTCTACTTCAGTATATTTTTCCTAAACTTATACAAATATACTGAATCTCTTTGCTTGATAATTGAAATATATTCTTGGTATATTCTAACTATATATCTGATATATTCATGACATATAATGTCTCATGATAATCATGTTATATCTCTTATTTATTTATTTATTTTGAGATGGATTCTCACTCTGTTGCCCAGGCTGGACTGCATTGGTGCAATCTCGGCTCCCTGCAAACTCTGCCTCCCGGGTTCAAGGGATTCTCCTGCCTCAGCCTCCCAAGTAGCTGGGACTACAGATGTCTGCCACCATACCCAGCTAAATTTTGTATTTTTAGTACAGACAGGGTTTCACCATGTTGGTCAGGCTGGTCTCCAACTGCCTGCCTCAGCCTCCCAAAGTGCTGGGATTACAGGTGTGAGCCACCGTGCCCGTCCAATCATGTTATATCTGAAAATTTTTTCTCTATAAAAATGATGTCCATTCACTTTCATAAATTTGATGTAATATCCACCTTTTTTAAAAAAATAAAATTAATTATTATGTTTACACATATTTTCTGGGAAACCTTTTGAAGCAATTTTAAGTGCCATAACAAAAATTAAATTTTTCAGTCAATTTTCCTCACATCTTTTACTTTCAAAAATTATCAAGAATATGTTAACCACAGCAATTGTAAATCTTTTGTCATCTATGGATGGTTTTGTGTTTTTCACCGATGCTTCCCATCAAACACTTGCAAATCTGTTACAGGCCAGAGGACTTTGTTTCAATGAAAAAGGACTGACTCGGAGATACATGGAAAAGAATTATGCTACGTACTCTTGTGTAAAAGTTTCTAATTACATTGCTTAAATAATTTGGGACCAAAACAATGAACTGAGTCAGGAATTCCAGAACTCTAGTTGAGAAAGAGATGGGTTCATAAGCCTACTAATCCGGGATCAGGTGGGACAAAAGCTAATTACAGAGGAGTGAATAAACTGATGACGGATAATTATGGGACTTTTTTGGAATAGGGCTATGGCTTTAATGTTTTATTTTCTGGACATAAATAACCTCCTCCTCTTTTTTAAGCTATCACTCATAACAATTTTAAGGACTATGCTCACTCCTTGTAAACAGAAATGAAACTTGTATATTTTTCTCCTAAACTCCCCCTTTCAAAATTTGGAAACTCCAATTGAGTCTTCTTATCTTCATGACAATATAGTTATTTGCATAGATTCCATAAGAGTCTGTCCTCCTTGTTAACAGGACACAAACAAAACCATTGGTAATAAAACCAAAGCTTTGCCTGGATCTTATATTTGAGAATGATGCTTATTTGATCAGATACGACCAGACGGTTTTAAGGAACTCAGGTTGACCTTATGTGACCAATGCTTCCAAAGCGCCTCTTGTGAAAACTGGCTTGAAACCTGGCTTTGCAGGGTTCACAGCTTTGCAGGTGAGCAAGGAATGTCATTTCCCAGCAGGTTCTGGAAACTTAGGATATTTGTGGGATCTCAAGGAAAAAGGGATGCCTGCCAAATCGATAGGTACTGCATGTGAAATCCGATGTGAGTTTTTGGCTTGGCTTCTCATCCTCAGGAGGCTTTGAAAAGTTCAACTTGACATTCTTTATGAAAACTTCCAGCAAAGCAAATATAAGAAAATCGATATGTAGATTGCCACTTTTGCTGCACCTATGCAAATAACCAGGCCAAATCTCATGAGCCCAATCTTAATCAGTCATCAAAACAATCTTTCTTTGAGATTATCTTTGATCAAAAGGGGAGGAGTAACTGTAGAAAGAAAATTTGTGTTTCCATGGGAAATCATAGCACGTCCTTCTGGATTATCAGATTCTGATCCTGTTTATTTTTGTTTGAGCTATCTAGTACCTCTTTGTAAACTGCATGTAACTGATAGATATGCAAACTGTCTCTTGTCTGGTAGAGATTTAATTGGCTTTCCCTCACACTATGGGAAAACCAGTTTTTGTAACTACTAATAAATTGTACTTGAATGTGCTATCTTGCACAAATTGTCAATTTTTACTAAATTTTCAAATCTTCCAATTTCTCTCAATATCTAGCTATAAATCCCTAAACTAACCTTCCAATTTTTCTCCTTTTCTCTTTACTCATAGTCACTGAGAAAACCTTACTATCCAGATCCCAATTCAGACCCTAAGTTGCCTTGTGGCTGGCCCCCAAGCTCTGAAGAATCACTGCAAGCTCAAGTCTGATTACTTGTTTTAAACCTGCAAAGACCCATCATTGCTAGCAGACTATGCATGGGTTCTCTTTTCCTCTGGACAAGGCCTGACTGGAACACAAAAGAAGTATGGGGAAATGCCCAGGTCATGCATGTTCTGATACAAGAGGTAACCCAGACTCTGGGTCACATTACCAAGACCATCAAAATGCTCAAAGAGCAATGCTGCGTGATCAAAAGGGTTCATCCACTAACCTCTTGGAACTCTCTGGAATAGTTACCCTTGGATTTAACTTCTGTCTTTCTCACTTTAGTATATCCTTTTATATTAACATTTCTCTTTTTTCCTTTTAGGCATCCCACTTTTAAGATGCCTGATCTGAAGGGCACTAAAACAACTGACCTTTGCCAGCATGCCCCACAGATGGTTCAGCTAGTCCTCCAGAAACAACACTGAGTAAGTCTGACCTGGGGACTATTTTACTCAGCCATTTCGTACTTGAGATTCTTCTTGTCTCTCTGTTCAAGGACGCTTTTTCTTAGCCTTTCTTGAACAAGAGTGGAGAACTGATAAGGCGATTTAACTCTGTCTTTAACACAACTTTAGGTTGGTTTGCCTAAACTACTAGGTTCTTAACTCTATATGAACCTCCTCCGGCATTCTAATTTGTTTGCTCTGTCTTAGACCCAGAATCCCACTCCATGTGCCTAAGCACAAACCAATCTTCCTGCCTTAACTTCTCTGCCACCAATATTTGATGTAGCCCGGTATGTTTCAGCATCATCCCCCACCTCCCGCAATCCCCCCTACTCCCGCCATACACATACACATACACATAGCTTCAAACCCCTTCCATTTTCCATAAGCATATCTCCCAAGGTCTTTGCACATAAAGGCTGTGTTTGCTCACTCCATGCCTGAGACTTTCCTGGCTTAGATCTTGAGCATCTTTCTATTGCAAGATTCTCCCTTAGTAATGTTTTCCTCACTTGAGACTTGTACAATTTTTCCTTGACAGTGCAAAAAAATATCATTTAGGATTTGATTTTCAGAAGGTAAAATTTAAAACATCGTCAGGAAATTTGAATACTTAAGTAGGATAATGGATTACTGAGAAACAGTACTTGGTTATCTATTTAATCAAAAATGACGTGAAATAATTTTTAGAGTAGATATAGGAGATAACATAATTGCAAAGAACGTCATCTCTTTTATATGAAGACTTTTCTCTTAAATGATCAAGGACTTGAAAAAGTCATAACAAAGCACAGGAAATGATTCTGATGAGATTCTGAATGCTTATCTTCTAAGCAGATTACTCAGAAGGTGAAGAAAAATATTTTACAAGCTCTTATTAAGAGAATATACTAATCCAAGAAAAAATATTTTAATCGAGAATAAAACAAATTCTAGTTTTGCATCTGCATATTTGATACTAAAGCTTATATTAAAAATTTTGTAAATAAACCCATTGAACTTCAGCCAGATATGACTACAAGAAATAAAACTTCCTATCCATGAGGCTTCTAGATTTTCTCTATCTAGTTAGGGTTTTGTAAGGTTTTGCCCTATATTTTCCTGTTTCTCATCCTGGAATAACTACTTATTTTACTTCAGAAAAAAAATTACTCGTTTTCCTTAACAAAAAAAATCCTTCATACCTTGCACTTAAAGTGTTCCTCTAATCACTTCTGAGTCTCATTCATCTCATTCACATATATTGATTATAACTTTTAACTACAGTGACTCCTATTGCATAGAGAAACCTTGGAGATGGTATAAAAGAAAAGTTACTCACTAGATATGTATTAAAACAGCCAGATAGATCTTATTCAAACTGCTGCAATAAGGGAGAGAGGTTTCCATATGGAATTGAGCTCAACTTCTAATACAGCAAGGACAGCTATGGATTTGTAGCCAAGGAATAGAGCAAGGTGGTAAGTGGATGGAAAATTACTAAGAACTTAACTAGATACCAAAGGTAGAGGGATTCTTTCTAAACTGGCTTAATTATTTTTAATATTAAAACTATGAATTAATAACATTATTAATAATAAAACTACTTTTGACAGGCAGGCCAAGAACTAAGATATCAAGAGTGGAGGTGAGAAACTTGACCAAATACTGAGTAGTCCAATATCAAGCATTAGTACATTCTTGATAAATTGGCTAAGCAGGAATCTTTGCTAAAACTGGGCTGGGCAGGCCAAGGTCAAAGTCTGCTTAGGAAGAATGTTCCAAGGAGCCTGACTCAAGTTTGGTCAAGGGAAAAGTCTTTTTCAGTGGATAATTGTAAACTATCTTTTATACACACTATTTTATAGCAGGCTAGAAGGGTTTATGAATATACATCTTATAATTCTTGCAGTAATAAATATCCCTATAATACAACTCACTGAAGCAAAATTAAACATGTTCATTAACACACCCAAATATATAGACTCTCTGTATTATATAAAAAATAAGAGGCAAAAAGTCTGTAAGAAGAAAATTATACTTAGTAATGGATGTGTAGTATTTTATTCTAGTAAGATAATCTAGGTATCTAATAAATACCCATTAATTCACCATATTTAGCATCAGTCTAAAGTTTCATGTTATCAAAAGATCTTGGTCTTGAGCCAAGCTGTCACACTATAAAATGTAATTAGTTTCTTTTGAATTAACATTTGTCAAAACAGTGATTCAATTTAACTAAGTGCAAATTTATATTTTTATAATTATAAACATATAGTAACTAAAATGAGAGATGGTTAAACCAAGAAACCTGTATAAGTGGAGGAAGAACATGCCCAAGTAAATTAAAATGTATGCTTGTGCAGTATATAATACCAAGAACTCAGAAGACACAGCTGTTTTAATTAAACCAACAATATAAAGCTAATCTCATTTGACAAAATGTACCAAAATTATGTGAATGTAAATTCTTAGAATATTTGAGCAACTATCTATAAGAGTATTGAAAGCAGAAATGCAATTATCTTAATTTCCAGAAATTTTTGAGTATTTTATTTACATCAGACCTTATTTAGCTCTAAGTCAATCAGAAAATAGAGCCTTTAAAAATTTTATAATCTAATTTAGTAATACCATCTGGAGGCAAGAAAATATTACATACCCACAAACACATAAATATACATACAGATCTAGAGAACTTATCATTTTAATTCTAAAACCTCGGCCATAGATCAGGCATAATACAGAAATACATAACTTACTTGTTTCTTAAAAAAAAAAAAAAAAAGTGGATGGGTGGTCTTTTCTTTCCACTGGGTCAAAATTCTTTATTGATTTGAGTTCAAAATAGAGAAAAACTGGATAAATAAAAATAACAGACCAAATTTTCTGACATCTTTCTAAACTGAGACACAATATCTGCAAATCATTTAATTCATTTACAGAGATTACCAAGTCACTCCCTACACACATACACACACACACACACACACACACACACACACACACACAAATCCAGCACTAGAGATCAACCGCATACTCAATGAAAATTAAATTCCTACCGTGATGCCAACAGATAAGAGTCTGGAACATCGAATTAGGAGTAGGGCTCACCTTTAGGTCCCTGAATTACCAGTCACAAATCGGGCACAAAGTCTCCAAGTGTCCTTATTACCTGGGTGGAGTAGATGGAGATCTGAAGGAGGCATGGTCCCATTTTGAGTCATAGCATCAATCCTGTCAAAGAAACAGACAAGTTAAAATTGCTTTTATATAGGCTATTGCAATAGGGAAACTACCCTTATCTGAAGATAATGAGAATGGCTCAGCTGCTAAGACAGTATAGCTTTTATAGGGAGGGGTAATCAAATCCAAAGGGTGTGGCTTAACACTGTGGTCAGTTTGCAAACTGCAGACGTCACATTTTGTTAACTTTCCAAAACAGTTCTCGGTAGTGCTGGTGGTTTTTCTTGGTAAGCTTCAGAGGGCAGAGTTATTATCTCAGCTAATCAGCTATGAGACAAAGCACAGGATGTGGAAGTTTTTGCTTTGTCAGCAGGTTTTGTCAGCAAATGAAAGGGTTTGTGGTAGGCCTTGCCACATGTGATCAAAGATCTTCTAGAAGAGTTTCACACAGAGACAACATCAAACAGAAAGACCAGGGACAGGAAGGAGTCTGCTGGTCCTGCCCACCCCCACCCCCACCCCAAATAAGGCTAAGAGGCAGAGGCACACATCCTTCCTCAGCCCAGCTCACTTACTTGCAGGTGACACACTTCCTTCCCATGCCTGCCTGTCCCCACCCCACTGACCTGCTTACATATAACCTTTCTTCCCCTTTGAATACCCATTTCTATATCTCTCTATTTGCACTCATGCTGACTCAATCAGTATGTCACCGCATCCCTCCAAGGCCACCTTGGGATAGTACTACTATCCCAGATGGCCACCTTCCGTCCACTCTTTTTTCTCACAATTTAGTTCCCACAGAGCATCCAGAATGAACAAAAGTGAAAATCTGATTTTGTTACCAACCCGTTCAAATCTTTCTGTCTCTCCCTATTGTCCTTCCAGGAAAGCCTATGCTACATAGCACAACATTCAAGCCTTTGTTGTTTCAGGTCACCCCCTTTCCTTGCCAGCCCTTAGCCAACTCTACGTTCCAGCTGTGTGAAACCTCCAGCTGCTTCCCTGCACTACCTGCTCTTCTCCCTGTCTACGCCTTTGCTTGTGCCTTTCCTTCCATCTCCAATGCCCTCCTTCCAACTGGCTAAGTCTCAATGTGTGCATACAGGAATTTAGAAGACACCGCCTCTGGATTTATTACTGGCCCCACTTCAGCCCCCAGCGTTCTCCGCCATGTTGAAGCCGAGTTTGGCTGAAATTTCCCTATTCCCTACCCTTTCCAGTCACAGCATTTACCACACCATTTAGCAAGTTCTTCCTTCTTTCTCTGTCTCTGAAGCCAGACCAGGAACTCCCTACAGGTCAAGATCATGTGTTCTTTGATGCTTTTTCATGACAAGGGGAGACATAGGGTTGCAGTAGTGAGTGGGCATCTGTTCTCAGAAGGCAGTGCCTGGAGCACTGTAAGTACTTTTAGAAACCTTATGAAATTAAAGAGTGGCTGAATTCACCATATATGTTCAAAACTGTACAATACACTGGATTTATAGAACACATCTCAAATCCTGTAGAAACAAGACAAACTCACATAAAGCAATTAGCAAAAGCTGAAGACTCTAAGAGGTACGATATGAAATAGTTGATTTTTGTAACCAATTGTGTTACATCCAATGAAACCTAATGAATGTTAGAACGTGGTAACCAGCCACTTTGGGGGTCTGAATGTTCACTTATTTCAGGATTGACTTTTTTTTACTCAAACCCAGTAAAAAAAAAATTTTTTTTTACTCAAAATTTCTCTTTAAAAGCTAACTCTTGGGACAGCTTCTGAGCAAGCCACATACTGAAATCAGTTTCATCTCTCTTTTAACTAA